GGATAAAACAGAACAATAGAGCAAAAATGATTTTTAAGTGTGCATGTGCTTGTGTCTGCATAAACAACAGAGAAGAACACACTGTGTATGTGYGCAATTCAAGAACTAAACAGTAATTGAAGCATAGCTGTATTAATGTGGTATTAACCTAGATTAGTTTTCTTGAGCAAATACTGCACAACATAAAGGATAGACTGTACTTGTATATTATTATKTTAGTGATATGATTATGCTGAAATGGGCAATGATTTTCTTTTTAATTGGAATTGGGTAAAGAGTAAGAGTAGATGCATTCTATTAATCCCCAATGGGGAAATGATTTCTCTGAATTTTTCCTTTTGCACACGTGAAGCAGTGGGCTGCCATCTAAGGTGCCCAAGAAGCCCTCATTCAAGGGCCTAAAACATAGTTGTTAAAACACACAASATTAACAATATAGTTGTTAATACTTTGCATTTATGTCACTAAGCAACTGTCTTTCCTTCCAGTACCTAATACCCACTGCTAACACTACATRGTGGCAGAAATACACCAAGTTCTTTGCTAACCTCGTTGATAAAACACCATGATGATGTACATTGTTTGTACATCTTCAACTGATTAACTTTTGGAATAAAGTCAATTGAAGGTAATCAAACTTGGTTGTAACTTAATCAGTTTTGCAGATATTARGCTCAAATTTGGTATTGTAGTAGCTGAGATTCATCACCAATATACACTTAGCTCAAAAAAATGCAGGAATTTGTGTTTGGTAGAGTAGTTTTTTGTAGCAACAAAGCTTCTTAATCTTAACAATAAATCTTAWACCTGACTAGCAGCACCTTGGGGTGCCAGAGGCTCAAAACAAGTGTCTGTAGCAAAAACAGAATGAACTGTTCGGCAATGGTTGAGAAGATTTGGCAAAATTTTCATGTGCGCAACTCACATAATTCTACATCTCATCCCACAAAATGCATGTTCCTTACAAATGTAGCACCATTTAAAATGGAAATTAACAGGCTTTCCAACTGTATAAGACTCATTGCCAAGAAGCRTTGTTACAACTAAGAAATTGTGGGCAGTCAATAAAACAAAACCTAACAGTAAAATACTTTTGCAAGGTGTTCAATCACTTTTATTCTAAACAAAGACTAGGAAGCAAGAACTAAAAAAAATAAATAAATAACTGGTATGTTTTTTTTTCTCTGCAGTTCACAAATAACTCAAGAGCCTGTAGCCTGTGGGATGCCTTAGTTGTTTTCTTAGCCTGCCCAGGTTTTGCCAGATGTTAGAGAGAGATTAGGCTTCTCAGCTTCTGGAGGAGACCACTTGAGCCAKGCCTGCTCTAACAAGACATTAATTTCACTGCACAGAGTTCACTTTTTTTTTCTTTTTGTGATAACAAATACTGAAGGAATGACGTTGGCACATGTTCTGGGGAAAAAAAAAACTGCAGATGCTTCAGTGTCAGTATCCGTGGCCTTGGGTGGTACTTTTTTGTTGTGATGAAAAGAAACAGATTAGACAATGCTTGGAACTCTGTTGTTAGTTTGTCTTTGCATATGTTTATGAATGTGTGCAAGGAAAAAAATGTTTTGTTGCTCAGTCAAGTGCGATGTTTTCTTTTGTAGACTAGTGGGATACTTTAGTGAGTGTCATTATAATTTTGCTGAATTAGATTCCCAGTTTGGAGCAGTAGTCAAGGCCAATTTTTATCACCTCTATGCACCTATGTTTGAAAATATTAATACTAGTCATATCTCAAGACAGGAAGGTGCTAGTCACCAAATTTTAGGTCAATAAATTATGTTCATATGTTCACAAATTTTTTACCATTACATTACTTCATCTTTTAACACTTTAACACAAACTGCCACCAATTACTGTATTTTAACTGTAAAAAGGTAATTACCAGTAATTGTCAGCCAGTCCTCCCACAGATGTCTCCAATTGGTCCAGAATGCTGCTGTGCAGCTGCTAACTGGAGTTTGTACAAGGGGGCACATCACCCCCACTCTGGCTTCCTTCTGTTAGATATGTTTATTTTAGAGTTCATTGTAGGATTCTTTTATTTTTATTTTTTTTAAGTTTAAATGATCTTGCATTATCTTTTCTCTGTGAGCCGATTCACCCATACTCTCCAGCTTGGTGCCTCTGGTCAACTAAAAATGCATTGTTGTTCTCTGACCTTTGGCACAGCCCGAGATGTGCTTTTGTTTATTTTACTCCTATTTTATTGATCTTAACATTTTAATGAGTGTTAAATGATCTTTGATTTTACATGTACAGCACTTTGTTGTAGCTGTGGTGGTTTTATAGGGGTTTAAATAAAGTATAAGTAGTAGGCAGATATTAGGTTGTAAAGCTGCTACTGTATACTGTTTATCTGCATAAAATTAAGGAACTACAATAGTTTCAAGGCGTTTTTTGTTTTGTCCTTTGTCACTTTCCACTGCTGGAACTAGGACCAAAATCCTTAACTATTTTGTAAAATATTAGACTGAGTGTACCTACATGCTCTAGTTGTGGGGCCTGGTTTAGGGGTGATATCAGCTTCAACTTCCAGGATTCATATGACTGTATTCCTATATAAATTCAATAGCCAAAACAGATTACCAAAGTAAAATTCATTTCAGAAAATAACCTTGGTAGGGAAGTGGTACTTTTCAAACAATCTGTAACTATCAGGGGGGTATTTGAGCAATAAACATGTAACATTAGAAATCTGCATATAAAAGAACCAAAGCAGCAAGCTGGCATCTGACCAGCTGCAATGATTCAGCAGAGAAGCAGCAATATATGTCAGGAATTTAATTTACCTAATCAACCCCGAACATCAGTTCCTGTTCACTTTGGAACAGCGTTTTGTGGATATGCCAAGGGTTTTACCATTTCAGCTTTAGACTCACATGGAAACAGGTTTTAAGAGCACCTAAACTCCATTTTCTTTAAATGGGTTCCAGAGTAAAAAAAAAAAGGCTTAAACACCACCATTTCATTCTTGTATAGA